CCCCCATAGCCCCCACCCCAGCAGCTGCCCCAGAGCCTGGCTGAACCTGCTCCCACAGGATGCCCACCCAGCCTGGCAGCTTCCAGGGAAAGGGCTTGGTTTGGAGACTTGCCTGGGGCAAGCCTGGATTCTTGGTCATGACCTGAGGTGGGAGAAACCATCGTGTTCCGGCCAGAGCAAGTGACTTCCTGGGAGATCCTCTGCCTCCTTCTTTCTGCCCTATTTTCGCGTAAATAACCCAGGCCACAGCCTGCTCCCTTGGCATTAGCTAGAGGGGAATTTTCTAAAGGATGAAGTGTCTGGGAAATGTTCACCCTTTTTCCCTTTTTCTTATGACGAAAGTGCTGCATACAGAGCCTTGGCTGGTGGTTCCTGGGGTCAGAACTAGCTGGGCCAGGAAAAGGAGACACTGACCTTCCCCTCCTCCTCCCGCCTCACAGGGTGACAAGCCCTATCTCTCATCCTCGTCGTCCTTCCCCAGGGGGAGGGCAGGGCTTTAAGGCTCCAGAGCCGGGAGGGAGGCATCCAGCACAGAACTTCCCAGAAAAGTTGGCCTGCCACACTCTGGGGAGAGACCCAGAAAATGAAAGCTGCAGGCCTCGCTGGCAGGGGACGGTTTCGTCTTGTCAGCATTGGGTGCAGGCTTGTCCCACTCCTCGCCCTCACCCTCGGACTCTGCCTTTCCCCAAGTTGCTGCCTGAGGTTTCCGGGGCTCCCTTTTCCACAGGGGCTTCCCAAGCCCCCGCTGACACCCAGTGGGAGAAGAGTTGGGCAGCCTGGGGCGCCTGGGTGGCTCAGTCGTTAAGCATCTGCCTTCGGCTCAGGTCATGATCCCAGGGTCCTGGGGTCGAGCCCCGCATCGGGCTCCCTGCTCAGTGGGAAGCCTGCTTCTCCCTCTCCCATTCCCCCTGCTTGTGTTCCCTTTCTCACTGTGTCTCTCTCTGTTAAATAAATAAATAAAATCTTAAAAAAAAAAAAAAAGTTGGGCAGCCTGCACTGGTGGGGGCCCATTTCTCAGACAAGATCCGGAAGGCCTGAGAAGCATAGCACCCCCGCACCCCAACCCCAAGGAGTGTCTCTGCGCTACCCTTTAACCCTGAAGCCACACTGACTTCTACCCCCTCCCGACACCCATGACCCTGGGGACTTGGAAGGTGCCTCAGGCTGAGGAGAGGGCCACCTTGCACTTCCCTCTGTGGAGGAAATGGGAGCAGGCAGGGGGCTTGGGCCTCTCCGTCTACCAGCCCAGCTGCTGCATGGCCTCTGCCCGGCTTCCCTTCCCCGTCTTGAAAGGGAAGACAGAGCCCCGTGTCTCTGTGGTGCCAGCTGGGACAGGAACGGGCTTGCTGAGCTCAGGAGCCGGCCACAGCGCGACTGGAGCAGGAAACGCAGCTCCCACAACCTGGCTGTTTACTTTGTGTCCCCCGGGAGTGGCCCGCTCTCCCTGGTGCTCTGGGCCTGCCTCTCAGAGGAAGGAGGCTCGGGTGCAGCCCCCTCCTAGCCAGAGCCCCAGGTTCTGCTAAATGTCTGCTTCTCGGACCTTCACAAAACAGGGCAAGGGAGAGGAGTCTGAGGGAGGGTGGGGTTCACAAGAAGACTTGCGGGCACCCAGTGCCACCGTCTGTCCGGTTGTCTGGATGAGATCGGATGCTCTCTTACCTCTCCTCAGTGCTGGGGCCATGGGTCTAGGGGACGGATGCGAGAGGACCACATGGGCTGGGCGCTTCCCATGTAGTACGGAACCTTTTTTTCCCCCCCAAAAGTACTACTGTAAAGACTGCTGTTTTTGTGGGGATTTCTGTGCACAGATGGAACTATATCCCCCTAAGTTGGATCAAAGTCTTCCTTAAAGAGAGAATCATTAGGCCTCTCTGGGAGGCCTACTAAGGGCCTCCCCTCACTTAGGCCCAACTCCAGGGATCACCCTTGAGGGCAAGGAAAAAAAGTGCCCTCAGCCTTCCTTGTAGGTAGTGGGCAAGGTTTTCTTCCCCCTTGGGGAAATACAGCTGGTAACGCGGTTCACAGGGATTTTCTTCAGAACGATCATTTCCTTCTTGCTATTCCCGCCCCCCTGCCCCCCAAAACACACATTCAGAATAGTTTCCCTGGGATTTTCCCCCTGGACTCAATGATGGGAATCAGCGTTAAGAATGAAGTTGTGAAACCCGCAGTCCCGTAGTCCCTGGGCCTGCTGCTTTTTTTCTCAGTAAATCCCCACTGCACAAATTTTCCTCCAGGGCATTCCTCAGATCCTGGGCGCATCTTCCCCACGCCTCCCATTTAGGAAGATAGATTCTGCCCCGGGGTGGGGGTGGGGGGCGAAGGGGCGGTGGTGCCTGAGACCCCCAGGGACAGAGATTGGCCTCTGTACCAATCCCAGGGTGGCTCCGAAGTCCCTTTTAGCCCCTGGCTTTGTACACAGCACAGGGGTCTCTGAAATGCAGAAATCTCTCAGGTGCCTCTCCGGGCCTTCCTCTGACCCACCCGCTCTATGGCCCCTAGATATGTTCTTGGGCGTCTCTTGCCACCATCACCTCTTGATAGCGGCTTGCTCAGGGCCCTCTCAAACAGGGGCCTGGGTCCTAAGAGTGCCGCTCCTTTTCAGGGTCACGTCTCTCTCCCTTGCTCCCGCACCCACCCCAAACCCAAGAGGTTCAGTCAATTATAACTAGTATTGTCCCGCTTTAAATTAACTTTTTAAAAAACTTTAATTGTATTCAGATTATACGAGTAAAGCACACACGTTGTAGAAAAATAAGCTTAGAAAAGATGAAGGATGTCCTATAGTCCCTTCTGTCAGAGACAGCCACATTTTCATTCTGGTGGTATTCCATCCCAACTGATTCTAGGGGCCTCCTTCCGGGGGGGTGGGGGGAGGTCTGTCCCCCACACCCCAGTCTCTCTGCTCAAGAGCCCTGAACGATCTCCACAGCCCACTGTCCAGGCCCTCTGGGGCCAGCCCGGTCCTCAGGGGGCCCCCTCCCTCCCCCCTGCCCCAGCTTAGCCAGCTACCTGGTGGTCAATCCCCCAAGGTGCCCTGCCTGTTTCTTGCATCAGCCCTAGGATCTGTCTGATGGTGTAATCTTGGCCCTGCCCCCACCCCCACAGGGCCATCTTCACCTCAGATCCTGCTGTTCCTTTGAGGCCGGGCTGGGCTTAGTCACTTCCTCCCTGAAGCCTTCAGAGCTGCACTTCACCCCCTCCCCCACCAAAAAAAAAAAAAACCCTAGAAGGACCCTTTCTCTTTTTGGTCCATGGGGAAGTTGAGATTCAGTACTCGTTGACCAAATGACTGCCTTTCTGAAGTATCTTCGAACGTCTAAGTGTTTGTGGCTGTGTCTTAGGACAGAACGGCGTCTGGCTCACAGGCCTGTGCCTGCTTTATGAGGGCGGGGGGCGGGGGGGGGCGGGGGCGGGCTGGGCGGTAGCAGCTTTTTGCCAGGACTGCAGAGTGAGAAGGGGTTCTGAGTGCTGTGGACCTCCTTAAGGCAAGGCCAGGCTGGGGAAGGGGAGCCTGGGGGAAGCAGCAGGTTGCCAGCAAGCCAGCTCACTGACAAGCCAGCCCAGCTGGGGGACTCAGGCCTAGGCAGCTGCAGGATCCGACAGGTGCTGCTGGCTCAGGAACAGGCTCTTGCCCAACCTGGGGCGGCACTGCTTGGAGGCACGCCGGTGGTCCCCTAGGCTTCCTGCCCTGCGTCTTCCGCCAGCCCATCCTGGCCAGACTATGGGGTCAGGCCGCCTGTGGCCTCGGCTGTGGTGCTGAAGAGCAGGCTGGGTCCTGGGCAAGACAGGTGCTGCCGGGGGCGGGGGCGGGGGGGTGCGGTTCTTCCCGTCTCAGGATTTTGCACCGAGGTATTTTGAGTTCAGGAAGATCGTATTCCAGAGTAGCATGTCTGATGCCCTCAAAAACGGTTCTGGCTTCTGCCCTCAGGAGGCTCCTGGGTCTGTGCAGAGGGGCTGCTGCTGTTTCTGGATGGTAGGGGCACGGGGGAGTCCTGGGCCGGTTCTGAGCTCCAGCCCTGTTACTACCATGCATCAGCCCTGCTGGCCTTCTCTGGAGCTCGCCTCTCCCATCCCAGCGCGGCCTCAGAGCTAGTTATCTGCAACGGGCACAGCGGTGGGGTGTTTCCTGCCACCCTCCCTATCTTAGACGTAGGAGTCTGAAGGGGACAAGGCGGCAGGCACGTCTAAGTGGAGGAGTTCAGAGTGCCGGGAGCAGGCTGCCTTTCACGGCAGACGCCACGCCTGTCTTTGAGGGTGCTCCCCTCCCCGTGCCTCGCTTTGTCTGGATAGTCCCATCAAAGAATGGGTGCCAAAAAAAAAAAAAAGAATGGGTGCCAACAGAGTTCCAGGGCACCCTGGGATCCAACCATTCCCTGAGCAGATGGAATTGGCCTTTGTCCTGTCTGTACCCCTCAGAATGTCAAGGCGGCAGAGCAAGGGTATGAGTTGGAGGGTAAGCGTGCAGATGCTTAACCGAAGCCTCTCCTCTCTTCACTGGCCTCCTTGCGTCAACACGGTTTGACTGTCCACACAGGGCTGCACATCTGTCTGTGCAAGGGGTTTCCTGCCGAGGAGCAAGCTGGGCACCCGGGGGCCATGTCCCACCCGCCCCCCCCCCCCCCCCGAGAATCGTGGCACCTGCTACGGGTGCCTCAGGGAACAGAGCGGGACCACAGACACCATGCAGAGGTGAGAGTGGACAGGCCCTTCTCCGCAGCAGGCTTTCTCTGCTGGGCCTCCGGGACAGGCCTAAGTGACAGGATGGGTTTCTGGATGGCAGAGTTTTCTTCTTTTTCTGAACGAAGAGAGGACAGTCATCCATCAGAGGGAGGGTTCTGAGTGAGGGGGTCCACAGCCCTCCATTAGGACACCTCCCTAGAAACTGTGCCTGGAAGCCCAGCGGTGGGCTGAGTCCCTGTCCCGGGCCGCCGGGCCTGTGAGCACGGAGGCTGGAGGTGACGGACTTAGGGGAGCCTGTCTCTCCGTGTTCCCTCCAGGCCTGCTACCTGTGCCACAGCTTGCTGACGCTGGCCGGGGTGGTGGTCAGCTGCCAGGACATTACTCCAGACCAGTGGGTGAGTCTCCCAAGAGGCAGAGATGGAGGCCAGCCTGCTGTCAGGAGCTGCAAAGAGTGGGAGGCTCTGAAAGACGTGGGCCTAGGGGAGCCAGGCTCCCTCCTTCTCCCAGTGTCCCGCGAGGCATTCCCAAGGGATCCTGACCCGACCTCCCAGCGGCTGCCCTGTTCCTCTCCTCCCTTTCCTGCCCGACTTCTGAGCAGTCATTCAAATCCATCCCTCTCTTGCTCTGATTTCTTTCCCCCTCCTCCCCTTCTGCGGAGGGGCCTGGCCCACGCCACACCTCCCCCCACACCCACACCCCCCAGGGAGAACTGCAGCTGCTCTGTGTGCAGTTGGACCGTCACATCAGCACCCATATCCGGGAGAGCCCGCAGGCCATGCACCGGACCAGACTCAAGGACCTAGCTGCCCAGACCTACATCCGTTGGCAGGAGCTGCTGGCCCATTGCCAGCCCCAGGTGGTGCCTCCCTCTGGGCCCGAGACTTGGCAGGGGAGGGAAGCGGTCAGGTGGGCTGACCAGAGCCGGCAGCACGTCCGCTCCGACTGCAGCTACTGAGCTCCTGACTGGCCCATGGGTGGAGAAGGCAGTGTGGGGGGGTGGAGTGCCACGCAGGACCTTCACATCATGCTCGCCAAGAATCCGATGCCCGGTGCGGGGGTGTCATAAGGGGGAGACAGAGAGGCCAACTCCTGGCCAAATGCAAAGAAAAACTTCGCCCTAGAGAGGAGGAGCAGTGAGCAGTGCCAGGAAGGGGTACCAGAGGGACCAGCTGTCTCCCCTCTGCCCACTTGTCCTGCAGGTCTGAGGCTGGCTTCCTACTCTGTTGGGAGGGACCCTCTCAGCCTGCCCTGGTCCCTGCAATGTCTGGAGCGACAACCTCCACGCCCCTGATTCTCTCAAGCTCTCTTAGGGAATAATAGTCATAGCTAATACGTATTGAACAGAGACCACCTTTCTTCACGAATCCAGATAGCTATCCTCATGAGACAGGTCCTGTTACCACCCCATTCTACAGATGAGCAAGCTAACCAGAGTTGCTGAGAGGTTAAATAGCTTGCCCCATCATGAAGGCAGCGTGTAAATGTCAGAACCAGGGCAGAGATCCAGGCTGACTCCTAACCCCTGCTCTGGCAGCCTCTTTTCTGGTCTCTGTCCCTCTGACAAACAGCACCAGCTGCCTTGGGGGCTCTTCCCTCCCCTAGTCCAGAACCCTTGATGGACATAGGCTGGGTCTGGTGAGCATTTCTCCTCCCATCCTCCCAGTGCCCCTCGGCTCCCAACGTGTCTAGCCTCGGCCTTCTCTCTGCTCGTCCTTCCTCCTGTAACCTCTGACTTGGGGCTGACACATTGGCCACAGGCTGTGGCTTGGGTCTCAGATTTCGCAAGTCTCTGAGAAAGCTGGAGAGCAGACCTCACCCTCAATCCCCCAGGAACTAGATCGCACTAGTCTCTGGTGGGAAACAGCGTGTTTGTCAGGAAAAGTGATCTGTGGCCTGGCCAAGTCAGGGGGCAGGCCCCACCTTCCTGTCACACTGCCCTGGGCCTTCGAGCCGCGAGTAGAGGGAACCCGGACAGAGCACTCCTGCGCTGTGCTCAAGTGGCCTGTTGACCTGCCGTGTCCTCTCCTGGACGGGAAGCCACAGGACTCTTGCAGCTCAGCACCGGGCACGAGGAGGCCTGTAGTGGATGTTGACGCTGGAGAGTCACCATCAGGACAGTGGGCACCACCCGGCCCGGGGCCATCGCCCTGTTTTTCTCCTTGCCACAGGCCCAGTACTTCAGCCCCTGGAAAGACTAAAGGAGCAGGGCACGGCTGCTGGTCCCCAGCTCTTGGCTCTGGCAGGAAGCAAACAGGCTTCAAGGAACAGGAGGGAGCGAAGAACAGAGGCCAGAGGAGGACTGGTGTGATGAAGCAAGAGCCTGCCTCCCCCTGACCCCCACCAGGCAACAGATGTGTCTCCCTGGCCCACCCCTCAGCCCTCCTTCCCTCCCAGTCCTCCCAGTCGTCTCCTCTGCCCCAAGGCCTTTGTACCCACTCTCTGTTTTCCCGGGGCCTCCTGGGCCCTCCCAACCCTCCTTCCTCTCTGGCGCTAATGCGAGCTTTCTTTGTGCACACTAAAGTCTTATTTCAGCATCGGTGGTTTAGAAGATTTCCTTCAATGCCTATCCTGAGGGCTCCTGCCCAGCGTCCAGTTTCCTGACATCTCTGCTGGTGCTGGGCTGAGTTCCCACCTCGGACAGTCATGTGACCTGGGCCTCTTAGGCCCCACCCCCTGCCCCAGAAGGCTGTTTGTAAATCCTGAGGGAGGAGTAGTTACTCCTGTGGCCTGAGAGCTGTCAGAAACCGGGGAGCACCAATAGGGAGCATTTGTTTGGACCCGGTCTGGAACTACGCCCCCGCCACTCACTGCCCTCACTGGGGAGGATCCAGAGTGAGCTGGTGGGTTAGGGCTGTAATTACACTTAGTTCGGTGTATCACTGAGTTCTGAAATCAACTCCCCAGACTTAGAAGTGGGGTGGGGTGCCAAAAGACAGTTCTGGATGCTTTCCCTCAGCCTTGCTCAGGATTGGTTTGGTGGGCCCTGATCCTTAATGAAGTGCTGGGTATCTTTGACCTGCCCCCCCTTGAGAAGCGTGTGGGCCCTGTGCATCACTGGGGAGATCCCTGGGTATCCCCATTCTCTGTCTACTTCTCCAATCCCAAGAATCCATTTTAGCGTCAGGCTTCTCCTAACTCTGGGTTGGAAGAGGGTTTTGCAGGGGCCGTAAGAGGTGGAAGTAGCAGAGGATGACCCTACACCCTTGGCCCGGGCCCACTCCTCAGCTCAAGCCGTGTCTGCCGACGGAGCTTCACCATGGCTGGTGCTTACGACTTTCTGTGTTTACGTGCCCCTCTCCTTTGCTCTCATGCCACAGGGGTAGGGTAAGGCAGGCTAACTAGGAGAGAGACTCCCCCCAAATAAAGGACCTTCAGGACAAGTGGCTCAATTTGCAGAACTGAAGGTTAGCCCATCACTTCCTGGGCCTGTCTTATTTATTTGTTTGTTTGTTTGTTTTGTTTTATTTAAGTAGGCTCCACACATGGAGCCCAACGCAGGGCTTGAACTCATGACCCTGAGATCAAGACCCGAGCCGAGATCAAGAGTTGGACGCTTAATCGATTGAGCCACCCAGGTGCCCCCTGGAGCTGTTTTAGACACAGCTGCCTCCCTCGCCCAGAAGTCTGGGAGCTGAGGGCATCTATAATTCAGAGGGCATGAGCACACGGCAGAGTGCTGGGTGCCATACGGGTTTTTGCCCTGCCGTGCTCCCTTTGCCAAGTGAGAGGTGGAAGAAGTCCTAGGCCAGGGTGACTTGGATGCCCAGGTGACTTGACCGAGAGTTCTGGTTTCTGTTCCTGGCCACATCACAGGGCCTCCTGGCTGGGGCACCACTGAGGCCCCAGTGGCATCAGGTAGGCCTGAGATCGTCTGATAAAAGAGCGAAGGCTCTGGTGAGCCAGCCTTCTTCACCTCCCTCCAGGCAGCTCCTGCTTCTGACACTGCACATCCTGACAGTTAATCCTCAGCTCTTCAGTTTGCTCTGGAAACCTGGAAATCACCTTTGAAATTTCCCCTCTTTGTTCTCACTGCCAAGGGCAGAGAGGGAGTAGGGAGGCCTAAGAGGCCAAACTGGGGAGTTTCCAGTTCTCGAAGCTGCCCCTTCATGGCTCTGAGAAAGAGATCCATGCGGTCTATCACCATAGACATCTGGGGCCCTTCTCCCCAGTCCTGGTCCTTGTGCACTGACCCCTCCTCCCCTGTGCCCCAAACACACTCATCCCCAAGAGGGAAATCGATACCAAGGAGAAAGGAGGTGTTGGTGACTCTCAGTCCCTCCAGAGACCTAGCTGTAACCTGAGCAGAGGGGTGCGCTTCGAGGTCACCCAAGGGCGTCCCCTATCCCCTGGGACATGTAATGGGCCCTCTCTGGAACTGGCTGGGAGCTGACCAGATGGCAAACTGGTCTGGGACCAGTTAAAGACTCAGTCTCCTCTAGGCCACGAATTCCACAATGGTCCTGGCAGCTGCACCACTTGCCCTTTCCAGATCCTTAAGCTCCTGGGAAAAGGCTGAGGGCTATCCTCACTGAAGCCACTGGAAACGCAGCATCCGGGGCTGGGATGACGGATGTTTTCCTGCTTCCTTTTGGTGATGGTGGCAGGGAGGGGCTGGGAAGGGAAAGGCTTCCCAGGTGGACAGCTTTGATAACTCTCCTTTAGGAGGAAGTAGAGGAAGTCCTTTTCCTATGCCCCGCTCACCTCGGTCCCCAGGCCCTCAGAAAGATCCCTGAAGGGTGGCTGACCCAGGCTTTCTCATTTCCCCCGCTGTGGGCTGACAACAGCTCCCGGATCCTTTGGGAAGTTGGCCAGGCAGTGCTAGCTGGAGAATCCCAGGGTGAACCCTGGGCTCCACTCTGGTCCGAAAGCTGCCTTGCAAGAACTAGGGGTGAGGAGCTCAAATCAGGGACACCATGGCACATGACCAATGTCATGGGGGAGGGAGCGGGGGCTTGCCTTTCAAATAAGACTCCTGGGCCCATCTGTAGGGACTGGCCTGAGCTGAGCTGCCAGTGGACTCTTGGAGAACCTCAGAAGGCATTTAGCATATCTGGGTCTTTCCTTGACTTGGCCACAAGCAGGTGAGCAGGAGGGCCTGTTAGGGCCTAAGGCCTGAAGCATGGGTACCTTAAATAGAATATGCCAGACAGGCCCTAGAGAGACATGACAGGTACAGGAGACTTTTCTTCTTCTTCTTCTTCTTCTTTTTTTTTTTTCTTAATTTAAAACCCAGGAATCCTCATTTTTGACCGGTTGTGCTTTTATTAAAAAGTATGAATCATGAGCAAGTAGTCATGCAGGAAACTTTATCCTCTGCCCACCCACCCATGGAAAAGGCCAGTGCTGGAAATGAACAGAACACAGCAGGAAATGAGTGAAGGTAGAAAAGGGGAGGAGGGGTGGGGGGAGCTGCAGCCTTATCTTGGAGGAGCATTTGAGAGGGAAGGGCTCCCGGAGTCTGTTAGCAGGAACAGAGAAGCCTGCCATAACGTACAGAAGACTGTCCCTGCCAGTGAAACCAAACCACCTTTTGAAACTTTCCACTGGGGCCATCTTGCAGGTGGAGCCAGGAGCTCAAGTCTCTGCCTGGTGGGGGTGGGAGCGGAGGTGAGGAAAAACAGCAGGAAACGAGCTGTTTAGGGCTTAAAGGTTGTCCAGATGCACTCTGACTTGGTGCAAAGACAGAATTGGGAGTCCCAAGACCTGATTTAACATTCTGACCTTGCTAATTATCTACGTGCCTTTGAGCAGGTTGCTTCATCCTTCTGAGACGCATTTTATCTCTAAAATCAGAGACACAATACCTGCCCTTTTTTTTTTTTTTTAAGGTTTTATTTATTTATTTGACAGAGAGCACAGGCAGAGGGAGCCTCAGAGGGAGAGGGAGAAGCAGGCTTCCCGCTGATCCCAGGACCCTGGGATTATGACCTGAGCCAAAGGCAGATGCTTAACCCACTGAGCCACTCAGGCACCCCATACCTGCCTTTTGAACAGTCGTCATGAGGAATATGTGAGGAAATGTATGTGAAGGCAGGTTGCAAAGTCTAAAGCAAAGAACAAATATTGAGCATCCGTTTACCTCCACTTAAAAAGACGCAGGGTCTAACCTGGAGGAGGGGGGTTACACCCATCTCCCTCCCAGCCCGCTGAAGCACAGAGCCTTCCCTGCCCACCCCATGCTGTTAACTGTCTTGCCCTCTATCTCCAGCATCTCCAAGACCACAGCTTTTTTTTTTCCCCCCCTCTGGTGGAAAGGAGCTGGGAAATGTGGCTTTGGCCAGTGCGGGAGAAGGGGCCTTTATGTGTACCAGCAAAGACCCAATTGTTACTGAATCCAAACTGGGCTGCTTTTCCCAATTATCTCCACTACTCTTCTGGTCTCCATTTTCAGATGCCAAGTTTTAACTCAGAACAAAAGCTCCTGTCGGGACTGATTTATAATCCAGATCTGCTGATGGGGGCCCTCCACTGTTCCTCCCCTCCAGGACTGCACCCGCTTAAAGTTACCACCAAAGCCTCGGGGCTCCAGTCTCTTTATCTCTGTCATTTGCCCCTAGCCAAGAGGAGGCATCCGTATCTGGGTGCTGATGGGGCGGCTTCCCTGGGGTTTGTCCACCTGCCCCAGCTCCAAGGACCAGCTGGCAAGGTCCACCCCAGCACGGCCCCAGCGCAGGAGGCCAGAGCTACACTTGACTTCTAGGAGCTGCTGTGGGCGGAGGCAGGCGGTTCTAAAAGGTGGTAGTTCTCCACCGAGGCTTCCCCTCAGCCGCTTTCATCTGAACATTAGGGCTCATGTCACTTGTTATTCAGCCTTCCAGTGGCATCAGAAGGAGTCATTTCTTGGGGGCAGGCTCTGTGCAACAGGAGTCTCCCGGAGGGTTGTCTTCACCGGGAGTTGGGCAAGGGCGCTGCTGTTCCTCCGTGTGGAGCATGAAAAACAAGGAGCAGACTCTCCGGAGATTAGTGGGTCTTCCTGGCTGGTAAGACCCGTTCCAGTATGACTGCGGGGCGGGGGGGGGGTGGGGGGGGGCAGTGGGCGTTGCGGCCAAGAAACGAAGCAGAATTTCGGGCCAAAAGATAGACCCACTCTGGTCCGCCCCGAAAAGGAGCCTCGGTTTCCCCGGCACCCCTCCCTCGGACACTCGCCCCGAGGTGGTTTGCCCGCGTTGGTTCCAGTAATTGCAGCGTGGGGAGCTCCTCAGCCCCATTCCCGAGCCCAGCCGCCCAGCCCGAGGTTGGCCTTGGGGGACATTTCGGAAAGACCGGGTGAGTCCGATCCCCCCCGCCAAGGCAATGCCCGGAGTCCCTCCCCCGCCCCACCTCCCGGCGCTGTGGCGCAGACCGCGACTCAGAGGCACGGGGCGGCAGGGCGCGGGGAGGGGCGGGGGTCCGAGCCCGCCGGCGGGGAGCTGGGGGGCCGGCGGGTCGCGGCGGGTCGCAGCCCCCTCCTGGGCCGGCCTTCGCGTCCCGCCCCCGGCCTCCGCTCGACCCCCCCCCCGCCTGACGTCAGGGGGGAGGGGGCGGAGAGCGGCGGCAGCGCTGGAGAAAGAGCCGGCACCCGGCGCGGTGGCGCGGGGAGCCCGAGCCCAGGGGCGCCGAGCCGAGCCGGGACCGAGGGGCGGTGGCAGAGGGGACAGCGAAGGAGGGCGGGCGGGCGCGCGCAGGCCGTCGGCGGCGCGCGGGTAGGGGCGGACCGTGATCCGAGCCGAACGCGAGGGCGGCGCCCAGGGATTCAAGCCGCGAAGAAGAGGTGAGTGAGGCCAGGGTTGCGCGGGGCGGGAGCACCAGGGCTCCGGGGCCGCCGCTTTGTCCCCCGACCCGGGCAGGGGCCGCCGCACGCTCGAGGGACAGGGTCTGGGGGTGCAGGGAGGGCTAGCGGCGGGGACAGCAGTTCGTCCGAGATCCTTCCTGCGCCCCCCGCGGGCTGCCTGGCGGGGGCTCCTGAGCCGGGCAAGCAGTGCCCGCAGCCATAGCGTCCGGAGGCGCGGACTGGTCTGGAAGAGCGGGGCCGAGGGGGGCGGGGGGTCCCCCGTGCTGTCGGGTCGGCGGCCAGGATCCTCTCCAGGCCCCCGAACTGCCCCCGGCTCCCCCACCCCCGACGGAAAGTTTGGGGCGGGCTTGGACTGAGGCCGATGTTGTGGGATCGGATTTCCCTGCCGCGGGCCCCCGCCCGCCCGCTCCGCCGGGGAGGCGGGTTGTCCTGGAAAGCCAGGCTCCCGACCCGAGCCTGGCCGCGCAGTCCCTGGCGGGAGCGCCCGCCCTGCAGCCGCGGAAGCGCCGTTCGCGCCCCGCCGCTCGCGGTGGGCGAGGGTGGGGGGCGCACCTCCGGGGCCCCGCGCTCCTCCAGCCCCCACCCCTCCGGCTGCCCCTGCTTCCCCGCCCTGGGAGGAGCTGGGGGTGGGGGCATCGCCGTGCTGGCCGATTCTCGGAGCGCGCCGCGGGGTCCGGCCGGGGTCTAGGGTAAGGGGCAGAGGGAGGGCTGGGGGTGTGTTGTGGGGGAGGGAGGGGTGAACGTATCCCCAGCGCCCCCCCCGCCCTTCCAGTGCTGGGGTATTGGGCCGACAGGGGGCGTCCGCCGGCCGGGCTCGCCACGCTCCCAGCGCCGCCGCTTTGTTTGCATTCAAATCCCGGGAGCTGGGGGGAGGGGAGAATTGGGGGGGTGACCAAGGACGGTCTTGGCGGGGACCCTTTGTTTTGGGGTGAGCAGGTCCCCAGCTTCTGTGTCTCCGTACCCGGCACTGGAGTTCTGGGGCAGTGCAATTAATCCAGATGGCTTGCCCAGGCCGGGGTCCCGGGGCGCAATCCCTGAGTTGGGAAGATTCGTCAGACCCGGGGGGAGCGCAGCAGGCGCCGGCCCTGCACAGGGCGTCCCCCGCGGTCCGAGAGGAATCCCTCTCGCGCTCCCCACCCGCCCCTCAGCTCCCCCCGCCCCCGCCTGAGAGCTGCTCGCCGGGAGATCCCTGATTAGACCGGAGCCAGCCCTGTTGTCCCGCCGCCCCAAAGCCCGAAAGCTAGTGTCTCCTAGGAGGCTGTGCGAGGAACAGGATGAGGCCCTGGTCATTTCCACGCCCATCCCACCCACTTCCTGCCTCCCGTCTTGGGCAACAAAGGGGCCTCGGGAAGCTGGGCCCCTTCGGCTCCCGGCCCCACTTCAGCCCTGCTGATGTGGAACCGGGGTTTGGGGCTTTGCCTGGCTATTGTCTGCGCTGGGGGAGGGGAGAGGCTGGGGCCAGGACCCCCGCACGGCTGGCTCCATCAAGTCCCCTTCCGGGGGGTGGAGGGGCTTCTGGAACCGCCCACCCACCGTATGCCCCTTCACCCTGCCAAGGGGTTTGCGTGCCAGAAGTATATCTTGGGGCTGGCTGGAGCCCCAGTGGGGGCAGGTCCTGCTTCCAGAGGTTATTTTAAGAAATCCTCAAATCTGTCAGGCTTGAGTGTGGGGGGAAGGGGTCCCCTTTTAATTTCTTAAACAACTTCCTGTTGAGAGGGAGTGGGTGAGGGCCTGGAGGCCAGAGAAGGTTTCTTGGAGTGTCCACCCCTCCAGCTGACTCAGCTCCTCCCCTCTCCTCTGGGGTCCCCACCTCCTTTGGAATCTGTGGGGGCCGAGGCCAGGTGTGTGTGTGTGGGGGGGACACCTGGTTCTGCTCCAAGGACTGGGTAAGTGGGGGGGAATCCAGGAGGCTCCTGGGGAGGCTGATCAGGTCATATGTTCTGTCAGTGCCTCTCGGCATGGGCTTGTGTGGGCCCCCTTCCGGTCTGTTTTCTCTGGCTGTGATTCTGACCCTTTCTTTTCCCCCAGCAGGGCAGCTGGCCTGGAGCTTCGAGCTGGGGCATTTGCCATGGCCCCACACTGGGCTGTCTGGCTGCTGGTAGTGGGGCTGTGGGGCCTGGGCATTGGGGCTGAGATGTGGTGGAACCTGGTGCCCCGGAAGACCGTATCTTCTGGGGGTGAGTGCCTGAAGTCCCAAGGGGGGAGGCCAGGAGGGACTATGGGGAGGTAGGGGGAGAGGAGCGATTGCCCCTAGATCGTGCCGGCTTTATCCTGCTCTCGGGCTCAAAGCCCACCGATGTATATGACAGCTTTCTAAGAAATGAGAATGAGTGGCCCCAGAGTGGCCCCAGGGACCCAGAGCTCATAGTCTTGGGATGGCCCTTCTTTAGATGGTTAGGACCTGTCTGCCACTGTAATGTAAGGAAGAGAGACCGTTCTGTATCATTCTCCCCATGCCTTACTTCTGGAACTAGCACCTGCACTGAGAGCCCACAGAGAGAAAATGGAGCCCGGGTAGGCATAAGGCAGAGTGTTATCACCCCCCTCCCCAAAGTCTTTCTAGCTCTTTGCCCCCAGGAGCCCCTTTATCAACCGTAATAGGCCCCCTCTGCTACCCTTGTGCCCTCTGTTGGCCCTGGATGTGTTTACACACGTGCTCCTGTCGGGGGACAGCAGACCCGACAGCCCTCTGTGCGCGCACACCTGTATTAAGAGGTGATGTCAGGTGTTTGTCTCATCAGTGCACCCTGGGGACCTAGGATGAGCTCACCTCCCGCAGATTCCACTCGGGTGCTAATGAAGCCCTCCCTTGCCCGCCTGTGTGTGGCGCCAAAGACTAAGGCTGGTTTAGGGGGACTCTGAGGATAGGTCAGCAGCTATTTTGGGGGCTGACTTAAGAATTCTGTGACTACATCAGTGTCGTTGTACCTTGCATGGTGAACAGCAACAAGGCTTCCCAGCTCCGAGGCTTCAGTGCCTTCTCTGGTCCCTAGCCCCTGGTTCCCCCTGACCACGCTGGCCTGGCCTCCCAGCCCCAACGCAGTCTCCCATGTCCCCGACTGTCCCAGTGGCCGGCCGTGCTTGGATCTCTGGCCGCCTGGATTTGGGTCCCGCTGCAGTGAAGAGTTTCCTCAGGCAAGCAGAGCTTACAACTTCAGTACATAACTGCTTTGCCGGATCACGGGCTGGGGCCTGGCCAGAGCCTGATGTGGGTAGCAGGCAGCAAAGAAGGAAGCAGCGGAGGAAGCTGGGAGGGGGAAGAGCCCAGCTCTGCAGCCAGAGGCGCTGTTGACCCTGAGAGTGAGGGCCATCAGTCTGATGGCTTCCTCTGGCCGGAAGCTGTGGCTGAGATATCCTTCCTTCCTCCTCACCAGCCCAGATTCGCCGCCTCCCAGGCTGGGAAAGGCCAGGGAGGCTTGAGGGGAGCTGTCAGAGCCAAAAGGCTATTAGAGAAGGCCCTTTATTGCCAGTCAGGGTGCTTAGCTGGCATCTGCTTGTGGGGTGCTGGCCGGCAGCAGGGGTGCTTAGGCCCCGAAGACCACTGTATAGAGGAAGGCTGATTCTGGGGGGAGGAGGATACCTGGAGCCCCAGGAAGCCCTCTGCCCATTCACCACCCTGCTCACTCCCACCT